CAACAACAAAGTGATTCTTGTACTAGGCTAACTTCATACACTATTTGCAAAGGCAATGAACCAATTCAACGAAGGGCATCCTCTAAAATGTGCGAGGTAGAAATCTTAAAAAATCCGCAATTTCTTCCGATTTCATGTAAAAGTAAATACATAAAACTTGATGTAAGCATTTGGAACCGATTATTTAAAACGGATTCTTGGATTTATTGTACTCGTTCTGAATTTGTAACCCTAAATTGTAAAAACCCTCAAAAATCATTCCAGTTTAATATTAAAGGCATTGGCCGACTTAGTATCTCTCCTTCTTGTATACTACACACAACTATGGCAATAATGTCACCTATCTTAAACACATTTATTAACCATACATTAGATTTAGTACCGGAAAGTCCGTTGTTTAATATAAGTAACATCAAGGAATTAGATATAGAAGATATTAATCCCCATACACTCAGTCATTTTGGTTTATATAAAAATCTCCGCCAAGCAATACGTGAATCCACAATAGAACGAAAATCGAATAATAGAATAACAGAAAACATTTTAATAGTTCCAATGGAATATCATATTATTGTAGAATATCTTTGTATTTTAATAGTAGTAATAGTTATCGTATTTTTATTTGTAAAATCAAAAAAGCAAAAAACCTATGTTTATAAGCCAGAAATAGCAGAAACTGAATGTTAATTTTTCTGTAATTATATATATATTGTTTTTTTTAGTATATTAAGTCGCAGGGACTGCTCTGGTTTGGCCCTGGGGGCATGTTATATGTAAGCATAGTATGTAGTATATAGTTATATTAGAGTATAATATTTGTATTATGATATGTATACTGGCGTACGTGACTACGGAGCCGGACGCTCGACCAGGAATCTGCTGATCCAGCGATTCCCACCCTGGCCGTTGTACAGAAGGGCCCCTTGGTCACGGCCGCCTCGGCAGTCTCGTAGACACAGGCGTCCAGTCAGAACCTCTTTTCATTTTTATACAGAAAATCATTTTAATAAGTCAATAAACACATCTTTTAATCTTTTAAACAGAATCTTTGCATTATTTCTTTAAAACACGTCCCTAATCTCTAAACTAGGAATAACAGCGCGCCGGTACACATCAGGGCTCCAACACTCCCCTTCAATTTTTTTTTTAGGAATTTGAGACTAGTTGAATTTTGATAACTTGCAGGTGCCCTCTGTATTGAAATTCTTAAACGAGCTAGGTAATCATTTTCGATTGTTTTTTTCTGTTTATGAATCAGAAGATTGTAGTTTGAACTCTTTAATGTGTTTGCCTACTGTATAATTTTTTCTACATTTTTTTTTGGTTTTCTAAAATGCATTTGCCTGCGGGCGCCAACACTCCCCTTCAATTTTTTTTTTTAGGAATTTGACTCTAGTAGAATTTTTTGCACAGACATCATTGATTACCTTCAGGTGCCCTTTATATTATCATTCTTTAATAAGCTAATCATCGTCAGTTGTTTTTCTGTTTAAGATTCTGGACGTTTTAATTTGAACTCTTCAATATGCCTTAATATCGTATAATTTTTTCTACATTTTGTTTGGGTTTTTTAAAATGTATTTGCCTGCGGGCGCCCACACTCCCCTTCAATTTTTTTTTTTAGGAATTTGACTCTAGTTGAATTTTTTGGATGGACTTGAATATTGTTAAAAAGCAGGTGCCCTCTGTATCATCATTCTTTAATGAGCTAATCTTTGGCAGGATTGTTTTTTCTGTTTTGGATTCTGGACGTTTTAGTTTGACCTCTTCAATTTGCCTTAATATTGTATAATTTTTTCTACATTTTTTTGGGGTTTTCTAAAATGCATTTATCTGCGGGCACCAACACTCCCTTTCATTTTTTTTTTAGAAATTTGCCTCTTGTTGAATTTTGATAACCTGCAGGTGCCCTCTGTATTGGAATTCTTAAACGAGAGCTAGGTAATCATTGTGGATTGGTTTTTTCTGTTTATGAATATGAAGATTGTAGTTTGAACTCATTGATATGTGTTTGTCTACTGTATAATTTTTTCTAAATTTTTTTTTGGTTTTCTAAAATGCATTCGCCTGCGGGCGCCAACACTCCCCTTCAATTTTTTTTTTAGGAATTTGACTCTAGTTGAGTTTTTTGGATAGACTTGAATATTGTTAAAAAGCAGGTGCCCTCTGTATCATCATTCTTTAATGAGATAATCATTGGCAGTATTGTTTTTTTTTTGTGATTGTATAATATTATTCGTGGGTACTCGAAACTCCTAAAGTAGGTACACTATTATACTTCTATGATAGTATCAGGGTTTGTTGTTGATGTATAATGGGTTATAAGTACCTAATGGATATTGTGATATGATTAATTTGGAATTTATTATAGGTACCGTCTATTATGGGTCAATTTTTTTTTTAATACCATAGATATGTATATAATATGTCTTATACCTAGACTGACATATTGTCTCCGCTCAGAATCGTTTTTCTTATACAATGATATTGTATCATTGAATTCAAATTTAATACCATCCATTATACATCGACCCACTTGTAACCTACCGTACAGCAGAGCACCTTTTTTCTAAATAATATTACAAACATCAGAGATTAAAATATCGAAATCTGTGTTTTTATAATATATTTACAATATGTAATCTATAACTGTAATGGCCTTAATATATAAAAGTACATCATATTACATTTTGTATATTTTAGTAATTTATCTTTATTTTTTAGGATTGAAGGTAATATAATGCAAATATACCAAACAGAATCCTTAAAAAATGCAGGACTAAACATGCTTGCAAATAATAAGCAGTCAAGTAGTAATAAATTATTTTTAAATTTTTGTTTTGGTTATAATATTACAATTTTTTCAGGTTTGCAGTTAAAAAAACCAGAAATAATTTCTACCGTTACTGTAATACGAGATTTATTCGATAATTCGAATCAGGTATAAATGCTAAGAAAAATAAATTTTATATATATAAAGTTATTCTTGTGTACGAGTGTGTCATTGAACTTCTAAAAGGCTGAACTGATTTCGATGAAATTTTTTGGTTGTGTTTGAGTGAGTCCCAGAATGGTTTAGATTCAAAATTGAACCCAGTAGATTCAATCTGGGTAGGTATTCTATTCTTTGGAGGTACTCGCACAAGGATTGTAAGATATAAGATTTTTGTTTATTAATGGTTGCTATTTGTTACAGCTTATAATAGCCTATAGAAATAGGAGAAATAATTAGTAGAGAAATTAGTAGACATTTTTTTGTATTTAAATGGTTGTCATTGATTATTCTGGCAGATATGGTAAAAGCATTCATCAATATGTCATGTTCGTTTCGATTGAAGTAACTATATCTTAAAACAAATGTGAGAGTTGAATGTAGCTTATATAGGTTTTCAAAAACTACTTGACCAATTTTATGAAAATTACATAACATTGTTCTTGGAGATATCAGAAAAGTTTAGAGTAGTTTGAATTAAGTTCGTTTTATACTAATTGCTATAGGCGAATTGTCCATCTTGTTCAAATTAGTTCTATTTTGTTATCCAAATGGTTACATATTATATTACTATTATAATTACTAATTAGAAGAAATATAGCATTTACATTTTTTACAACTATAAAAAATATAAAAATACAATCATTGGCATTGGCAATGTTGAGCTAGTTTGTTATAAATTATAATTGTTTTAAATTATGTTCTAGGATGAAAATGAAATAAATGAGATAGGAGTTTTATTTCAAATACCTACATCAAACACAGATTCTCCGAAAAAATCATCCATGATAACATTCTGGGTCATGGGGTAAGTATTTTCTTCAAGATAATTATTTAACAATGTATATACAAATGTATAAATATTTTTAGGAGATTATTCAAAGAACCAAATAAACGAGAGTTATACGTTTGTTATGAAGAAGGCATACCTCAAAATATGGTTGAAATTGCATTTAAGTTGGGTACAAATTATGCAACTGGATAAAAACAACTTACATTATAACATTTATATTTATAAATAAAATATATGTATATATGATCAATATTTATTTATTAGAAAATCAGAAAATCATGTGTTATTTGTATTGGAGTGGACAATGGTTGTATGAATAGTTGTGGCTGTTATTCAATTGGAAAAAAGCAGAAAAATGTGTATGTTAATTTTAAATGTGGAGTATAAAAATATATGTAGGTAACTCCTAAATATGGATTTTAAAACTATCATACTGTAGGTGGAAATAAAATATACTTTGAAAAAAAAATTCTAATTGTCTTTTGGTATAGTTGTTATTATGTTTTTATACAATTTCACAATCAATAAACATTAAAAACTAAATTAAATTCAAATGAACGATACATTTTTTGACTGAATGGTACACAATTATAGTATTATTAAGCATCTAATCTTAGATTTGTGACCTAATTTTGAAAAACACAGAACCCAATACTCAGTTGTTTTTAAATAATATTATTTCTAAAATCAGCTAATAAATAAAAAATGAATAAATAAATAACAACACAATATATTACATGAATTTACACTTAACTTACTTTTATATAACATATACAATATCTATTTTAGGAACTTTGTACTTTATAAAATGTGAACACTCAAAAGTGATACACTGTAAAGTGTTTTATCTTAACATTAGAAATAAACATTTTGTAAAATAAATTACAATAATAATTACTATATAACACACTTACTGTACCATTCAACAGTAGTTGTCCTTGGCTTCAAGTAGATGCCAATATTATAATCATATAAACTTAGAAAATAATTCAACAAAATATAAACTAGTAGAAAATATAAATTTAAACAAAAATTATGATTTGACTCAATATTTACCAAAATCATTTTTAAAGCTATAAAAGAATGGAAATAATTATATAACCATTTTACAAAATTTTACATAGATCAACAAAAATAATAAGCAACTAATTTTAAGTCTTTTTGCCTTTGATTCAGCCATGTGATAAATTGTCAATCCTATAATTGAATATTAATTCATCCTATAAGTTCTGGATTCATGTTACAATACAAATTATCTTCCGGAATTGATTCTGGTTCTGAATCTCTATTATCAACTATATTAACTGTAGGTGTTGATAAATCTAGGTACTCGCATTTATCATTAAACAGTTCTAGGTATTCGTTATTAACTATTTTAATAGGTACTTCATATCCATCATGATTATTTGATTTCTGTTGTGAATTGATACAGGTTAAGTCTATTGTGTATTTCTCAGATACATTGTTCGGTTGTGCTAAATAATACATTATTTAATGTTGTACTTCATTAGTGTTTAAAAATATTAAAATATATAGTGATTTTACATACAATCATGGGGAATATTTACGTAGTCCAGGGGCATAGCCATATATGATTTTAATACTTTTAAGCAGTATTCAAACCTTGGTCGTTTCTCTGGATCAACATGCCAACATTTTTGCATCAAATTATATCTGTAATAAAACAAGTAAGAGCTGCTGATTTTCTTATTTTTACAATTTAATATTGTACAATGAATTTTAAACTAATGTTTTTATTTACAGTAAATAGTTTTTCTTTAAAAGGACTGAGTATAGTCAATCATTTTTATTCTATGCACATTCAAAATCTACTGTACATGTTCTATTTAATCCACTTTATCTTAAGACAGTATGTAATATTATAAATGAAATAATACATTATACAAATAGAGTAACAATACTTATTAGTATTAAGAGACAATATATACTAAATTATTAAAGTTTGTAATTCTAAATGCGAAAAATAAAAATGATTGGCATTATTTATACTCTATTCAGGATAAGAATATACCCGGTGGTGAACGAAAACACGTCCTCTTCACTCATCTATCCCACATTCCCACTAGCATGTTCTTGCTCTCTCTGTGACAAATATCAGTATCGGTGATAGCGCACAATGATAAAGCGTGGTATATATTCTTATTCTGAATAGAGCCCTCTAGACTCATTGCATTAAATATTGAATTTTATAATCCTAATAATATTGTTCTATTAGGTAATAATATTCAACAAAACATACATTTTTCAAAATAGTATTTATTTACCAAACTTTGGGTAGGCAATAAATCTAATTAAATAGTTTAAACTGGATTAACTTGGCATTAAAAAAACTTAAAATAAATATTGTAGACTTTAAAATGTCAATATTGAGTCGCTCTATATTAAAAAGAGTGGTAATAATATACACTTACTTTCAGAGTATTTAAAAAAAAAAGGAACTTCTAAATTTCTAAAATTCAAATAAATGGGTTTCTATTTGGAACTTGGAAAAAGTTTACTAGGTATTGTATTTAAAAACTTGATTAAAGGTACATAGGTGATAGGTCTTAAAAACTGTACTCTAAATGTTTAGTTGAATAATATTGCTGGAACAACATTACTGGTATACACTGTATAACATTATTATTACAAAGTTCTTGGACAATTGATTGGTTTTTCAAGCCTTCCACCATGCTGGACGTGATACATGACATTTATATTGGACAGTCCTGGATAGGGCTGCTGTCCTACAGACATTATTTCCCATAGGAGAACACCAAAAGCCCAAACATCAGATTGACTAGTAAAAACACCATCCACTAGTGATTCTGGTGACATCCATCTAAGATAAAAATAAAATATAGATACACAAAATATACATCATATATTATTAGTACCGAACAGGCAGCAAAGCTTCTCCTTCTTTCCGATAATAATCGTGTGTATAAATATTTCTCGCTAGTCCAAAATCGCCAATTTTTATAATTCGCTCTTTAGGGTCAGAAGATGATACCAAACAATTTCGACAAGCTAAATCGCGATGTATGAAATGCATTTGCTCTAAATATGAGCATCCTTCAGCTACATCTATGCACATTTGTCCATAATCACTAAGATTCAATACCTGAAGAAATATATTGGATATATTATGTGATTTTAATGTTTTTTTTTAAAAATAATAATAATATTAATCTTACATTAGTTTGTCTGTTTTTCCTTAAATAACTCAGTAAATCACCTTCTTCCATAAGTTCCATAATAATAAAATTGGGGTCATTATCTAAACATACTCCAATCAATTGTAAAATATGCTTATGATTGAAATTATTCATTAATTTTGCTTCTTTTAAAAATTCCTCTACTTCACAGTGACTAGCACCTTCTTTTAACGATTTAATCGCAACGCGTGTTTCACATTCTCCCCTCACTATATCTTTAATTTTTCCTTCAAAAACTTCTCCAAAAGCTCCAGACCCCAATCGTTTTGTAAGTGTAATTTGTTCGCGCTTGATGCTAGGCAATTCATTTTTTTTTTTTTTTTGAAATAACACAGCCCCTTGGTAACCCACATTTACAGCATGAAAAAAAGTTGGTCGCTGTGGCATCTCTCTGAGTCTCCCTAATTCTACATCCGGTCGCATAGGTCCTTTGGAAGTATTTGAACCTACTGTAGTAAAATATTTAGAGGTTAATAAATTAAAAATGGTATGCACAATTGAATATAAAGTTACATACAATACTTAATTAACATTGTCAAGAAAAGACAAATCAAAATAAATCCTGTAAGTAATATTTTCCAAGGAACATCTTCATTTTTTAAAGTTTCCACTTGGTATTGAGGATTGAAGGGTTCATCTGAAGTTCTATAATCGCTCCACCAACCATGATGATTCTCTGCCTTAACACGGAACTTAAATACTGCATCACGTTTCACATCAGACATGAACCAATGATTTTCTAAAAAGTTAATTAAATTAGTACATAGAAATTTTAAATTTGAAAGTTTTCTAAAAATGTAATTACGAGGTCCACTGTACACGGTTGTCCAATTACTTGTATTTAAATTCAAACTTCTTTTATTTCTCATTTCACTAATAATTATTCTTTCTAATGAATAACTTTTAACACGCGATTCAGATGGATCCCAATACACTATGTAAACAGATGGTAATGTCTGGTTAACTTGAGGAAATCCAGGAGGACACGGTCTTTTAACTAAAATATAACAGAACATGGATAAATCAACAATACAAGAAAAGCAGAGATTATTTCAATTACATTTCATTTCACTTGAAATATAGTAAATATTGATAAAACAAAACCTAAAGAAAATTTGGGATTTCTAACCATAAGAACCGGTTTCTTTCTCTTTACTATGAAACAGTGGTGGATTTAAGGGTTCAAATTAAATCAGAAAATTTATAAGAGGGGCCTCTACAAAATGTACCAATAACACACTTATGAAATTGTTTTTATAAACTTTACCTACTTAACAAAGGTAAACTATATCACAGTTTTCATTACAAAATATATTTATTTTTTTGAGGTAAAAATTGAAAAAGCTACATATATAACTTAGGTGGGCCCCAGTATGCATATTAAGATTAAGGAGAGGCGCCTCGTTGGCATTTGCTGACTAAAAGACAGTTCATTCCAATACTACTATTAAGGTTAAAATATAACTTATGAATACCTCTTTTTTTTGTTCATACGGAAACTTTATTATAAGAAAATATATTAAATAGCTATTTGTCACTTCCCATCTTCAAAATTATACTATTTTAACCAAAATTAAATTTTCATTTATCAGTATTTTTAATTTTTAATATTATTATTTGAATTATTTTATATTTTTTTTTTTAAAAAACGATCAATTTAATTACAACTATGTAACTACCAATTTTTAAAATTTGACTTTAATAATTCCTATTAAATTTAATATTACTTAACTTTCACATCAAGTCCCGACCATATAGTCTTTCTAAAACAACCATATATCTAACACAAAGAAGCTTTTGTATTTTCCTCTACTTATATACTCTGCCCCACGAGAGAAGGAACTCGTTTCGGGCATGCAGACTGACGGCCGCAACTGTTTCCTCCTACTTTACAACATGATACACACTATATAACGTTTCAGGCTGATCGTGCAACTTTGAAATGTCAAACAAGTGGGGGGTGAGCGGATTTGAATGCGATTTGGCTAGGACATTCTCTCGTGGCGAGGAGTATAGAACAGAATTTAAAATATGACGATCTAGTAGTAACCGGAAAAAAGTCAATATTAATGATTTGTTACTACTTACTTGATTCGGATAATCCATCAATCGTATATACAGCTGTTATATTATTTAAACAATGTAATGATGCATTATGTTCTATAGTGGGTTTATCATTTAACTCTTTGATTCTTATTGAACACATTGATTGGTTTGTTGTCCAGTAAATATTGTGTTTATCAACTGCCAGTGACGTTAAATTAAAAGTTGAATTTACATTAAATATAACTGAACATTTACAACCATTGATATCAGAAACAATAATATTTCTATGTTTGCCTTCAACCCACAGAAGTCTCATTTTACCACTATTTGATATGTAAGATGTTAATACATTATCAAATGGGTACAAATCAGAACAATTGCAATTACTATTGCTAGAATATACAAAAGTTTCAACATCTGTGCCACTCATGTTACTTTTTAATATATGTTTTTCATTGGAATCAGGAATTTGTTCAATCCAAATAAATAAACTATAAATTCAATATTCTGTTATAAAACATCTATTTAATCAAATAACTTGAACTAAACTTAAATTAATAATTATTATTTACCCTTCAGAAAGAACAGCTGAAAACGGAAATATTTTATTGGATCTTGTCATCACTATTTGAACTGTTTTTACCCTAATATCAAAGGCCATAATTTTTGATCGATTTTCAGTAACTTCACACCAAAAGAGTGTTTTTGATATCCAATCAAATGAAAGATTTTCAATTTTCATATTAACTTCAGAAATTGAATAAATCTAAAAAAAACAAAAAAACCCCAATGTACAAAAAAAAAAAAAAAACAGAAAAATGGTACCAAATTCACTGTTTAAATCAGTTTTAGATTTAATTTTTAAAGTATTACTACAAAATAATTACTTTATTATTAATTGATTTATTAATTGGTGAACTGTATATAGTTTTACTATCAGTCCAAAATGCAATATCTTCCATATCGTTTAGAGTAAAACTAGTTACCAAACTATTTGTGAGTAACATTATTTGTTGATTATTTTGTTTATTTGAATGGAAAATCAATATTTTGGAACCACTCACTATAGCAGTTTTAAATTTAAAAATTGCATAGTTGTAGGTTTGATTATATATTATGTCTTGACTCCATCCACTACATCCAGCCATAGAACAAGCCCTTATCTATTTTCAAATAAAATTGTTAAATTTACACAGTTTATTAATAATAATAATGAAATGTTACTTTAAACAATAAATCTGAATAAATAGAAAGTCCTATCCATTTTGTTTGAGTGTTAGGTGACACAATAGCTTGTTTTGAACACATTTTCCAGTAATTTGTTACTTGGTAATAACATTTAACTTCATAGTTTGTAATATTTTGAATTATAGAATGTTGAAGTATGATATTCATTGTATAATTGTCATCACTGAAGTTTGCGAAAATACGTATATCTGTTGGTACAGTAGGAATTGGAGAATATACTGTTACTACTTGTGACGAACCCCAAACTGTAGAAGCTTTGATACTGATTTCTAAAGGTGTACTATCAACTAATACTTTGGTATTCGGTGTTTCAAACTAATAGACAAAATAAAAATAATTAATACCATAAAAAAGGGTTCATATTAGCCTAGTCGTATTGTGTTGTAATTAAGTTAAATTTATTGGTAAGTAAGATGTTAGCAGATAATCATATAAATATTAGGCTTCTTCAACGATATTGATATCGTAAACTTTTTTTTTCGGAAATTTAGTTATCGATAATTGTAATATATCGATGTACAGCTAGCCAAACTGATTTTAATGCCAAAGATCTTGAACAATATATTTAAAAACAATTAATTTTTAACTAATGTCTACTAGTTACTACCTAGTACCTAGACAATTGACTATTGGCAATTATGATAGTCATAGAGATATCGGAATATCGATACCTACATTTTTTTTTCGATATTGCAATCCCATATGGTTCCAAACAAAACGATATCGATATTCAAAAATATATCATTGAAGAAGCCTATTAAATAAAGATATTAGGTACTCTTGATACTGACTAGTAACTAGTATGAACCTGATTTTATACAAAATAGTAATAAATATATGTATATTTTTAAAAATTGTAATTCATCAAAAATTTTAATTTAATATATTTTATGTTATATAATATATACTAACTAAAGAATCGACTTTACTGTCTTCCTTTTCCAAAACTTTAACAGTATAAGAAACTAATCCATGGTTAACAGTTTTCACAGGCTCCCAGATAATTTCATACACACTTTCATTATTTCTATGATTAACTTTTATCATTTTAATGTCCACTTCTTCTGGAATAACATTTGTCTCTAAACCTAAACAACATTACATACATTTAAATGTTAATAATTAAATATAAATAATTATACATATTTTTAAAAATAAATGCACATTTTGAAACCAGAGTATGTAATACACAGTCACTGCCAAACAATAAAGTAATATTATTACTTATTTTATTAAAAAGAAAATAACTGTTAACATAGTAATAAGTATTATAACAAAAATACAACAAACACAACAGACATAGCAAAGATCATACAACAACAAATAAGCCTTTCCAAAATCCAAGGAACAAACAGCCCTCATCTGGGTTCCTGGGCATAGTAATATAGAAGGGAATGAAAAAGCAGACAAATATTCTAGAAAAGCAGCAACATCTTTAGACGCCCAACAATTAAACATAACAACATAAGCAGATTTAAAAACCAAATCAAAGATCGCATACAATTTAAATGGAAAATGCACTGGCATAAACAGTAGATTAAGCTAAGGAAAATAAAGAACACAATTTTAAACTGGCTAAAATTCCCTCCGAGTAGAAGGGATAAGGTAGTTATAAACTGACTCCGCAGTGGCCACACCCGACTTACACATGGATACCTCATGGATAGAGGAGAAAAACCACAGTGCATTTCTTGTGAAATCGAACTCTCAGTTAACTACGTAATCACCGAATGCCTTCAATACGCAGATGAACACAGAAACTTCCGCATACCCAACACACGATGCAGCCCTCGGACCAGACGCAGATACCACCACACAAGTCCTTACATTCTTAAGTTTTCTTAAAAAAAATGTAATTGTAAACAATTGTAACTAATGGCCTTTGTCGCCGATGTTAATTAAGAACAATAAAAAAAAAAAGGAATTAAAAATTAAAAATTAAAAAAAAAAATATATAATGATATTCCTATATAGCAGGAGTGACCAGCGATAAGTCATGAGGCGCACAATAAAGACAAATGAAAAATATGCAAAAGCCAAAAGTAGGAAAAAAGGTTCTCAGTTATCGTAAACATGATTAAGTATCAAATTTAATGAAATGTGTAGAATGCAAAACAATATAATAATAAGTAACATACAATTATGTTAGATTACATTTTATATGGGATATTATCTTTATTAAATACCTATTATAATATTATTACATAAATGTATGACCCAGCCCCAGTTTGACCATTCCTACTGTATTATAATATTCCTATAGTGGTCCTAATTTTTGTTTTAGATTCTGAGTGGAACGATGAATAGAATGTATTGATTTTACAATGTGTGTTTTATTTTTTTATTTATTTATTTGTGTGTCCGTGTACACGATAGTTAGTCAAAATAATGCTTCGATTTTCAACTTCAGTATCTTGTTCGATTGGAAAGTGAATCTAGTTGGTGCATTCGGGAGGTCAAATTTTAAACTTCCCAATAGTTTTCACAAGCGCCGGGATTAAACACATAAAAATTAAGGAATAACAGGAATTTTTACGCAAAATCTGTTTTCCAAAAAATCAATTTTGGTTTTTGGTGTACCTAACTCTAAAACAAATGAACGTATATACATGAAATTTTTCACTGGTTGTTTATATTTACATTTTTTATACACGATAAAATTTTTAAAATATTATGATGAGTTTTGAACTATTTAGGAACATTTTCATTAAAAATTTTTTTTAAGTGTCTTTTCTAAAAATATCAATTCAATTTTATTTGTTGGTTAAAAAGCTTGAAAATTTAATAGAAGGCTTCTAGTATATTGTTTCAAAGGTAGATGAAAAATATTAAATATCCTTAGTCACAGTTTTTTTTTATAAGCATTTAAAGTTCAAAAATTGACAAAATATGGAAAAATCATGAATATTAGCAAATTATTTTGAGTTATGAATTTGTAAAAATTTTTCTTTTTAAATCTAAGATTTGAAAATGTAATACAAGATTCCTTATAAGGTTATCTACCTTTATCAAAAAAAAAATGTCTATAAGAAAGTCAAATTCAATTTTTATGAGCGTTTGAAATTCAAATTTTTACAACATTGGATATTCACTCGATTTCTCATGTAGCGAATTTCTTATTTTGTTGTAATTCAAAAACAAATAACTGTAGATACATGAAAATTTCACTGAACGTTTATATTAGCATTTCATATACACCATACAATTTTGAAAATATTTTGACTTTTTTTGAGCTGTTTACGGATATTTTCAGTTTTCAATTTATTTAGTTTTTTTTTTTCTATAAATATCAATAAAGTTTTATCTGTTGGGCCAAAAACTGAAAAAAATTTAATACAAGGCTTCTGATATATTTTTACAATATCAGTTGAATAATAATTCAAATACATGGGCACAATTTTTTTTTTATAAGCATTTAAAGATCGAATTTTGACTAAATTTATCAAAATCTCGAAAATTATCAATCATTGTAATTAATAAATTATAAAATGTTCAGTTTTTATAGCTAAGGATTGCAAATTTAAAACAAAGGTTCTCATAAATAGTTCATACTGTAACCAAAAAATCTAAAAAAATATATGAACACAGTCATGTTTTTGCAGACATTTTAAATTCAAATTTGGACGAAATTACATAGTAAAAAACCTAGAATAACTATTTTAGTTATTTTGTTGTGACTGTATAATATTATTCGTCGATACTTGAAACTTCTAAAGTATACTACTATATATTTATGATAGTATCAGGGTTTGTTGTTGGTGTATAACGCACTATAAGTACCTAATGGATATTGTGATACAATTAATCTGGAATTCATTATAGGTAAATTTTTTTTAATACCATAGATAAGTATATAATATATCTTATACCTAGACTGACATACCGTCTCCGCTCAGAATCGTATTTCTTATACAATGGTATAATATCATTGAATTCAAATGTAATACCATCTATTATACAGTGACCCACTTGTAACCTACTGTATAGCAGAGCGACACCCACTTGCCCACCTTTTTTATATTTATACTTCTTATTTTACAAACCATATAATATTACACTGTAATGATAGAAACTAATATAATATTCATACATACAGATATATATATTTTATCTATACTATATTACCTTTTGGTTTTGGATGAGCGTATTGGTCACGCACACTAAATGTCTGAATTCCATATAAATTCATAGCTCTTATGATTGCTGGATATTGGCCATCTGTATCACTCATCATTATGTCATTACCTTTTTGAAGCCACAGCAAATGATGGTCTACATAGAATAAAGGTCCTGGATATAAAACAAAATAACTTGATATCTACTTCTAATGCACAATATATTAATATTATATACCTTCAGTACACGAGTTATCAAATTCTTTAATAGGATTTAGATTATTTAAATCATTCAGCTTCTCAGCAGTTGGTGCACGGAATAATTTTGATTTGTCATTTTCCCGAAGTATCCAATACACCCAGCTACCAACAGAATCCACAGCTAAACTCATAACTAAAATTGAAATACAGATACATAAACATAACATTTTTTAAAAGTAATTAGAAATTTTAAATTCTGCTTATAATTTGATATTGTACCCTTTTTTCCAGAAAAGTAATCGGTGTTATAATAATTGTGCTGTTCTTTTCCATTGAGTTTTGAGGATTTCACTGCAAACCCGGTTGACCAATACAAGTAACCACCAACAGATTCTACTTTCAATTCTTTAGCAATATTAGATGCTAAAAGTAACTCTCTTTGACCTCCAAATAAATTTTCTCTAAGTATCTAAAATTTAACTTAGTAAGTATTCATTACAATTTATTATTGAAATAAAAATATGTATTACTGATTGTTTTGATGGATCTGCCCAATATATTTTCCGACCCAACCAGTCAATTGCAATACTTTGAACACTATTAATATCTTCTAATGTACTTCCTTGACGACTCGTTAAATTCAGCCAATTTATTTTACTTGAATTAACCACATAGAAAACACAATCTTCATACCAAGCCACATCGTCTAATGAAGAATTTTTAATACTGGTCTAGAAAAAATAAAAATACATAACTATCATATAATTTAAAATAAAATAATATACAATTTTATCAAATCAAATAATCTAACTTTATAAAGAAAAATCAGAAAAAAATCATATTTTTCTCAATAAATAGGAAATACAAAATAATGGCCTTTGAATTGTGTTTATGTGATAATTTCTATACTAAAATTTAAAGTGGATTAAGTAAGATAAGAGCACAATATTATTTTGTCCCCTTTTTCTTCTAGTTATTAGTTATTACTGTACAAAACATATATGCTTACTTCATCTTCATTAATTGAAATTGATTCTATAAAATCACCCATGATATCAGATATCAAAATTTGTTGTGCATTTCCCCAAAGTACAGATACATTATGATTTAACGTTTTAACTACAAACTCCGAAGACCAAGGTCCTTGTCCTGAAGAAGAATATGCTGCTACTCTTATGACATAACTTGTTCTAGCTGTCAAAGAATCTATTAGGATTTCTGTTTTATTAGTATCAATTTGTTTCCAATTTGTTTCATTTTCAAATTTTATTGAGAACAAATAAGACCATCCTTGCCATGAACTACGTCCTACACACGTACATAATTTAAATTATAATGTAATCCATATTGTAAACAGCTATTAAAATTTTAATCAATTTGTTTTTACCCTGTCCGCCTAATAAATGTGGAGCCTGCCAGGTAGCTTTCATTTTACTAGATGTAGCGATTGCTTGTAAAGACTGTGGTGGATTTCTTGGGAATGGTATAGGTTGTTGATCAGTAAAATTAGATAGTATTAATTTGTACGAAAAAGGCATAGCCGGATATATGTTTTGATAGTATTTTTGTTCATTAATAAAATAATCTTCTCCCATCAATTCTGAACCATTTGACCAATAAAATGATCCATTCACATATGACAGAGTTATTGCATCATCAAATAAGGCTGTTATTGTGTTATTTCTAATATCTGTTAAATCTTGACTGTAAAACACCAAAATATGATAACTGTCAATATTTAAATAATAATATTGGCAACTACAAACAAGCAGTGGCCAACAAAAATAACTTCGTGAGCAGCAAAGAAATATTATGCAATGCTAGTATGAACCAAATAAAGAATAAGCTTCACATGATGGCAATGTACACACTAAATTGAGCACTAATATCATTTCTGAATTGATATTATCTACACAACATTTAGATTTAAAGTGCTTTTAAAAAAGAGCAAGAATTTTTAAAAATTATATAAAATAGTAACAGATACATATGTAAATAAAATGTTCTTGAAATATTAAATTTTAATCACCAAAACTACAATATAAAAACAAATTTTGAATTTTAGATAGGGTATTGGTACTCAATGGTGCTACCTACTATATTCAATAAATTCTACTATAATATGACGTTTGGGTTAAATTTGCTGTTAAAAATTAAAATAATTTCAATATTGTTTAAATTTTGTGAATAAAATATAAGAAAAGCAACTCAAAATTAATAGAAAAAACATACATCTACATCGGGTAATTATTATCATTAATACATTATGTTTTAAAAACTTACCCATCAAAAGAAACAGACATGATTGTGTTATTCTTTTGGAATAATACCAACAAACAAAAATTCATATAATCAATCACAAATGGACCAATATCTTTGTGATAAATTATTCTTGACATTACTTCAGTTTTCAAGTCCAAACGATATAAACCAAATTTTGTAGTCCAAAATAAAAATCTATTATCAATAAGATTAAAGAAATACAATGTTAATCATACACTTTAAAGAATATTAATAAAAAATATTACCCATTGCAAGGATCCACTTCTATTTGGAGTGGTTTAGAATCAAACCCAGAAACTATTTTTTCTGTTTTATCCTGGTCTAAATAAAATTTATTTATACTATACACTATGGTATTTCCGTTTGTTATTGATGACATAAAAATGTAAATGATATTATTAAGCCAATCAAGACTAATTTGCATTAATATTTCTCTTTCAGTTGTTAACAAAATGTTTATCTTGTTATTTGAAAATGACAATAAAGAACTTGAAGACTCCAATATATATATAGTATTTGTTCGCACATTAATTGATATATCTAAGATACATTTTTATTTTAGCTCAAGCATCAATTAAAGATAAAAGGATTGTTAATAATATTCATACCATTGATTGTTTGATTTGTGAAATAAACACTAATAGGTGTATCCATCATTTCTTTTGTTTTAACAAATATATTATGATCTGATACAAGGAATAAGTGTACAGGTTCAGGAGTATATTTTACTGAAAATAAATAATGAATCACACAATATTAGTTTTTAAAATATATTATAATTATAAACTACACTAATGAATAGCATATTATTTACTCGTTGATGTGGGGAGGGTTTTGACAAAGACATTGGCCATTGGTCCTACACCATATTCATTTCTAGCAGCAAGTGAAATGGAATAATTTTTTGCAGATTCCAAATTACGGAACATATAAAAATTTTCCGTTTCATTTTCTTTACCAGTCAATATTTCCTAAATAGCATCAGACATTTAACAAATATAAAACACAAATACAATTTTAAAAAGTTAAAAAATACAATAATAAAAATATAGTGTGTATAAATATAAAGTGTTAAATATTATAGAATATATAAAATGTTAGTTAAAGGAAAAAAAAACAAATTAATAGAAAAACACAGATAATTAGTTACAAATAAAATAGTTGGTACTTATAAATGCATTAAAAAGTTATAAATTATAATACATTAGACATTCAATTATTTTTTTAATTAACATTGGCAAAGAATAACTAAAAGCATAAACTACTACCTATAGAATTTGTAAAACATACAAGTGAAAGGTTAAAGATACCAGAAATTTCATTAACACATAACTCGCCGTTAAAGATAAAAAAACACCATGGAAGTTGCTCTATTATATGGCAAAATTTAAGTGTAATTTTTCATTGAGTATATCACAGTTATGGATGTGTTATATTTGAGTTCAATGATAAAACGAATCTGAACGGGTGTCAACCTCTAATTTTAAGGATATTTTATACTTTATTTATATTGCTATTAATAATACAGTAGGTTGAACTAATTGTTGGCAAAAACATAAGCATATATTATTGAAGTCAATACCACAATTATTTTGATCAATAGACTAGATTAGAACTGGGACTATTTGCATAATTAACTTAAAATTAGTCTACATTTTTGAAAATTTAACTGTTGATAAATCCATATGATTAATATTTTTTGAATCACAACAATAAAAAAACTAACTATAACTGTTAAAGGAAAGAACATAATTTTTTATTTAAATATAAAATTATGTCAACATTTGAACAACAAATGTTGAAATGTCTATAAAAAAAATTGTGCTCATGTAATTTATATATTTATTAATTGCTATAAGTACAACTTATAAGGAACCTTTAAATAAACTGTCAAGTCTTAGTTAGGTATTATCTACATAGGACAACAAAACAAAACTAAACATAAAATTAACTTTTCTTAGCACAGATCTAAATAGTTTATAAAAATAGAAAATAAGTTAATGATATTTTAACTTCAAATGCTCATAATAAAATGGATTCTGATATATTTTTGATAATATTTAGAATTGTGTTAAGTACCTAATTAAAGGTAACTAATTAAATCTTACGGTATTTTAACTTCATCATAGAAACTTAAAAAAAACTAAAAAAAGTCAATCTTGCCCATAAATATGTATATCAAAAAGAGCCAAAATATTTTGTCTAGAAAATGTTAATATGTGATGTATTCATTTTTAAAAAACAAAACAAAAATTAATTTTGGTATTGCGTAAATATTCAGGTTATATTTAGGATTTTCCAATTATTTAAAAAAGCATTTTGAATATTTACTTTTGACTTCCAAAGTACCAATTTTTTTACACAAAACCATTTTCAAGGTTGCAAGTTGAGAATTTTTTTTTTACTGTTCTAAAAGACATCCTGATCCTACTATATTTCAATCACAGACATGTATGATAATGTAATATATTACAAAGGTACTGAGGTTTTTAAATTAAAAATAGTGTATATTGTAATTGTATTTATGTTGAAAAAAAAATTGTTGCCCCCCTCCACCCAGATTTTTGATCTGGTTGTGCCAAATTGCTCCACTCAGAATCTAAAATATCAATACATATTAGGTACGATATAATATGTAGTATTGAAGTATATAACAGTATTTCCATAAATGACACAAAGCAAAGTTAAACTTATTTTCGTTAACTAATTCATTCAATTCAAATATTATAAAAATATTTACATATAATAGTATAGCAATTATTTAGTTTGAAGAATCAACTGTGAAATATATTATGATTATTTTTTAATAAATTTACTATAAGTAATATTTATTTGTGCATTGAAGACCATGCATTTTGGTGAAGAAGAACAAATAAGCAAAACAGAAATTGTGTGTACATATCATGTTCTGACCTTGAAGATGGTGTACTCTTTTGTAGGCTCTTGGATGGTCAAGTGATAGGATAGGATTGGGGCTAAAGGAAAGGGAATAGCTGCCCATGTAATTGATATACTAGAATCTGCAGGAATTGTTCTCACAATTTCTGGTGTCATTGAAGGTGGTACTTTGCTGGGATGTGTACTGATAACCACGCTTGATTCAGAAACCACCAACTGCATTACTCCAGCCCATGGTAACAGTAATACCACACGAAACTAATAAAGATAAAAACAATAATAAGATACAATTGTATTTATTTTTGTAATTTATGACTAAAGAAATAAATAAAAACAATTAAGTAGTAAAATTAATTAATTTATCAGAAATTAAAATAAGTATTCATATAAAAATGAATTTTAATTTATAATAAATACTTGTTAATAAATAATGAATAAGATAATGAAATTAATTAATATTGAATTAATACTATTAAATATAAGTCATATAACGTTTTCAAAATATATATATATAATCGCATAAAATTAGTAGGTACTTGATAATTTGTATAAGGCCGGAGATTCTCCAATTGGATAATAGAGTCATTATTCCATGTTTCTTTTTGGCAATATTGCCAATTTTCTTGATTATTTTCTAATTTCCATTGAATTCTATATTTGAAATTTTTCCTCCTTACACCCTTCCATTGAAGCTTAAGAGATTTATCAAATAGAGAATCTGGTACTAATGTCGGGGATGGTAAAGGACCAATTTCAACTAAATATAATATAATATTACATTGGAATTAATATTAAAATAATTGATAAAATATTAACAAGGCAATTATTATTAAACATACATTGGATCCTTTGGAAGTATAAAGTAATAGCATCATGACATCCTGCAATACAATATAATTTGCTTTGAGATATGTAATTTGCATTAAATTTGTCCTGCAATATATTTTAAGATTTTTAAAAAATGTCTCAATACAACTCTTAAAAGTTTTTAGTATGAAATTATTTAATTAAATGTACATATTAAAAAAAATAAATATATATATATATATATATATATATATATACATACATACAATTAAATACTTACACAAACTTTCGAACAATTACTACCAAGTGCCTCGTTCCATAAAGTACATCCTCTAATACACTGGAAGACAAAAAATATATTTATAGTTTAAATTTAAGAAAAATACAATTATAAATGTATTACAATGAATTAGGTAAAGGTTAAATCAAATAAAGGAAAAAAACTAGTTCGATAGAAATCAAAAATATATTAAGATTATTGCCAGAGAGAGGGTGACAAGTTTACTGGAAGTACCTACATTGGTTTTGTGAGTATAAGTTATAACATAATATCAAAACATGTAAAGTAACTTCTTTACAAATTGAAATGTTACATTACATAATTATTTATTTCAATAACTAATATTTTGGATAGCAAAAAGAGTTTAAGTATATTTCTATACAACTATTTATTTTTATTAAAGCTTCATACTATTAATAGAATTATAGTTAATTTAGTTTGTCCAACCTAACTAGAAATCCAGCCCCTTACTCACTCTAATTTGGTTTTATAAACAATTGCTTTGATAACAGGTAAAAAAAATTAGTACCTATGCATTTTTAAAATATCTAGGAATTGTAAGTAAAACCACCTTGGGTGGGTCTCAGACTTCAAATAGGTATACCTAACTTCAAAACCAAATCAGACTGCAAAATTTTGACTTGACTTTCGTTTTCAGCATGATTAACTAAATACATTAAAACAAAACAATATTGCAAAAAAAAAAAGGTGTCCGGTAAAACAGAAATATAACAAAAAAAGCGGGTAAGTGGATGTCGCTCTGCTGTACAGTAGGTTAAAAGTGGTACCTATTTTAGGTAAATTTTTTTTAATACCATAGATAAGTATATAATATATCTTATACCTAGACTGACATACCGTCTCCGCTAAGAATCGTATTTCTTATACAATGATATAATATCATTGAATTCAAAATGAATACCATCCATTATACTGCGACCCACTTGTAACCTACTGTACAGCAGAGCACCTTTTTTTTTTTAATTAATGTAGACATTAGACAACTAACTAACAGAAATATTTTACAATTGTAAGATAATATTATTTATTTATAGTCGGTTTTATTCAAGTGATAACTGATACCAGAAAACGATTACATGGATATTGGATTTTAATACGATAATAATTGTTAATTCACAATTCACATTTTAGTAGGTATACTTCACACCACGATTATAGATATTATTACTATATTAGGTATAAAGATAGGTAGATTATAGTTATTAATTAGTCAATAGGCACTCTGATAGCCGTCAGATTACAAATTAAAGGTCCTTGCAAGATGCGAATATTGGGTCGTAATATACAATTGATGGATCCACAGGTCAAAGCATATTTTTTGTAAACAGAAGTGGTTCCGGTACATTTCGGTTATCATGTACTGGCGAGTGGCGGGCGGCGGCTAATTGGCGGCCAGCGAAATTCCGTTTGTCGTTTTTGTACTCCGAACTACCTATTTAATATTTATTTAAGGTTTATATTTGTTCTTTACGAACATACGGTACATACGCTACATTAAGTTGTTAATTTTAATAAATATTCTATTATTATTATAAAAGAAATATTATTTATTTAATAATAATTTTAATCTTTATTTTGTAAAACGAGAAAGTCCCGAGCGATTTATTCATAACAACGCAGAACCAAACCTATAGAGCTAGGTAACCAAACCTATAGATTTGAAATTTTGAAGGTAGATTATTTTTATAATTTCACCACGCTAAGAAAGGCTTTTGCAAAATTTTGATTTGAAGTAGTTAAAATCGGCAAAAAACAAAATTTTATAAGCGTAAATTGTATACGTATCTATACGTAATGGCTGCTATTGATTATAATATAGTTGAAATAATTAGTAGAAATTAGTATTTATTTATTATTGGTTGCCATCGGTTATTCGGGCAGATCAGGTACAAGCTTGCATCAAATCGAATATTCGAACATTGCCTACCAAGATGGAAAGAGTTGCCATTGGTCCGCGATCCGACCCGGGCTGAGTTGCACTTACTGCAGCGAGTTACACCCAAAAGGAGTTGAACAAAACTTTTAAGTTACCATTTTTTACGGGCAACGGAGTGCGCGGGATCAGCTAGTTTATTTATAAAGGAGATATGTAAAATGTAATTTATTCTTTGAGTGAATACAGTGCATAATTATTTAGGCAATACCTACTTCTGTCATTTTTTGACGCTTAAAAATGTATATAGATGGCGCATCCTAATTATTCTCTTTTAAAGACAATAAAATACATTATTCCAGCCTTTAGCCGATCACACATCACCATAATGGATAACAATTTAATATTTTGTATGTGTATTACTGTGTTCTACTTCCACTATTTAGATAAACAAAATACATTTGTAATTTACCGGTCATATAATACGTCGAAATAAATACTTAACAGTTTGGAGTAAAGTAGTTTTGATTTATACCAAAAAATGTGTTTAGTGATGCCTAAGTGATAACATGAATCATCCGAGTATTCGCGATTGCCTATTAGTAACTTGAAGTGTTCGTGTTAATGTCCATCGAAAAAGATCTGCTTTTCGCAATATTGAAACAGGTGAGATCATAAATAAAGTAACAAGTAATGAAGTAACTCAAAAACATTAACCAAAGAAGTAAGAACAAGTGTTCAATCAATTAGCTATAAATACATTTGTATAACTAAATTTACCAGGAGTGTCCGCCGTCCGAGTGTATAATATTTTTTTTATAAAAGGCCGGTATACGGTAGGTCCCTGACGGAATATGTATTTATTATCATCTAATGTACAAATAATGACATGAAGTGTTTAGTTAGAAATTCAATAAAATTCTAAAATAGCAAAAATCAATCAAATTATATATTAATTTGTGGATATACAGATAGGTTTTTATTGTATCTTGCATTTTAGCTGGTATTTATTTATTTTAAAATAAAGATTAATATATTATGATCTTAATTCATATAATCGATTTGTAAATTTGAAAAAAAAATAAGAATATACTGGATAAGAATAAAACGCATAGGTGGAAATCCATAAAAATGTCAGGAGGGGGCTAATACTTATAACATCATTTTCCAGCGAAAAGCTGCTGTCTGTTTTTTGGGAGCTAATGGAATAGTTTGGGCGGCATCCCCTTCACACGATTTCCACCTATGATAAAAGTACAAAACGTGGAGCAAAGTATACACTTTACACACACACAGAAAGTACTCATATACATTAGGAGAAAATATTCAAGTCATTGCCTGAGACATTAAAAAAATAAGACTAAAAAGTCATAAGAAAATTACAACTGGCAATAAAAGTATAAATATTATATAATTAATAATAATAGAGCTGTTACTGTACTTTATACAACAGAATACGCTATACAGATTCAACTTAAATGTAGAATACCTATCCATGTACTTACAAGTTTTTAAAATAAGAATGAATAAAAAAATCAACTCAATATTTAACAGCACGAAAATATTATGAGGTCAAACAATATAATAGTTAACTTGATAAACTACATAATATTTTGAAATTATTGCTTAATAAATAACATAATAACTTTATAATATTATGTTATAACATAATAATTAATAACACTATAACAAGTTTTAAAATAATAAAAATGCTCACTCAAGACAAAAATAATGTATTTATTATACTGATGACAAAATGAAATAAAGCAGCAATAAATAAAAATAAATTTTTGTTTTTATTTAAATTAAACGATGTTGACCAGATCCACAGCAATTCACACGGTACATCATCCGGGACCCTAACAATGTATTAATTCGATAAAATAATAGTCAGGGTTACTTATTAGTCAATCCACAAATGCGGGTCGAGAGCCCCTTCATATCAATTTGACTTTGTTTAGCAGCAATAATTATTATTAAACGTACTGATCACACTTCTTTATTACACCAAACACAAACATTTGTGGACTAATAGACTACAATAAACTTAAATAAAGCCATATTAGTTATTAAATATTATTATATACATAGGTAATACAATGTATTTATTATATACGATGGTATAACATTAACAAGTTTAGGAAAAAAATGTTTTCTGTTTTGAGAAAATAAATATTTTAAAAGGTAAAATAAACAATTATTGATTTAAAATTTAAAAGCATTTTAAGTACGTAATAAGAATATTAAAATTTAAATAACTATTTATAACGACGCTAAATTGTCCACACTCCTCAATTAGTTGTGATGAAAGTAGCTGAGTGACTATGGATGTGGTTACCTACGTGCGGCTTATCGTTTAAGGTCAGGTACCTAAGACATGGTCAAAAATTACAACTACTATTGCATAGTGCACACATTCAAATATTTAATGAATAGTAATACTCATTAGGTATATTTGGATTTTGGATTATTAATGTTGGATTTTAGGTGGATTCTTCGAATAAAACACGAAAGTTAAAAACATAACCATAATTACAACTCGCGTTTGATTAGATTTAGGTATCATAATATGGTATTATTGGCATCCACACTAGGGGGTGTTAACAAAACATGAAATTATTGTTTTTATAAAACATAATATATAGATACATATATATTTTTGAATTTAAGCTCCCTCCCAATTGAAAATATCAATAAACGGCATTACATGACTATCTAGGGCTTAAGCTTTAATTATTAGACCATAAAAGTAAAAGCACACAATGTATTATTTAAACATTTCACCTCGATCAGTAGAGTACTAGAGTAAATCAATTTTGAAAATGTAAATAAAAAAAATAATGTCAAATGTGACTTATTTTTATCCATGAGGTATGTAATATACAAAGATTCATTTTCTTCACGTATGAACCAAGGATTATGGTTTTATATAAATTACAATTAACTCCTATTGTCTGCAACAAGACAGGAAACGTTCAATAAATATTTGTTCACAGCGAAATATGTACAAGTATCCCGGCCACTTGATTCAATTATTCTGTACTGCAAAATAATTACGCATAATAATAACCTGGCGATTACATTTTGCGGATTTTAAATGTTACCTAACTACACAATTTTTGAAAAACAAAACTCACAATAATTCTTTGTAATAAAATAAATCTATACATTTAATAGGTATGGGCGTATAGTTACAGCAAGATGACATATTAAGATGTAATATTATTACCTATAGGTATTAGTGTAGTATAAATTTGAATTCTTTAAATAATATCTTAATGTAGCAATGTAAGTTTTTGAGAAATAAACAGCAGCACAATTTTGTTAAATAAAACCAACTCTTATATTAAATCATAAACAAAAATAAATGCAAAATGCATTTATATCCCATCTGCAGTAATAAATCAATATAGGTTACCTAAACATACAATTTACCTATAGGTATATATAATTCAATAAACGTTTTTACACAATATATTTAATTACGACAATAATATTATCTAAAATACTCGGAACACCAAATCAAATATTACTTAACGGGGTTTTCAAGGTAGATATTATTATATTTAATAATACTTAATATTAATATTTAATATATTGGTCACGAGGAAACCGGATGTATACTAAAGTCTATAAATTACGTTGTTCACGGTTTAGTACTTTTACTAGCCAGTGACAAAATAATGATTTTCATCCTCATCCTATAAAAAACTTATTTTGTACTAAATAATATAACTTTATTTTCAATATAGTGTCAAATAATACATTTTAAGTAAAAGTTAAATTTATAAAATAAACTACAAAGTCAATAGTATTACATTATATTATTACGGTAATTTATAAGATTCATACATAGGACAATGTTTTACACATTTAATAGATAATATATTAACATGAAAAAGGATCTACGCATTAATACACAGTCTAGTTCATCCTATTGTTCAGCGGTTTGTTTGTGAGCGGTCAAGTGAACTTCCGTAGCACCCATCATATCCCATCACCACCTGACGTTTATATTTTTACAAAATTCCTACTTTATTTATACCTCAATTATACTGTATCCGGTTAAAAAGTTTATATGAAAATATTTTGTACTAATGTGTTAAACTAACATTCAAATGCTTCAAATATAATATTCTAATAAATTGTTTCTAGAGTTTAAAAATCTCAATTTTTAAAACAATTCAGTACCTATAATATGATGAAGCCCAGCGAAAACGGAAATAGATACTAACCATAGCCTAAAAGAATGAATTCGAGTGTTTTATTTTAAAACCCCTAAACATTGTACATTTTAATTTAAATAATTTTTAGGGTTTCTGCATATAAATGTCATGGTTAAAAAAATCATTTTACACCTGACCACATTACGAATATAGGTAATAGGTACCTTCGCCCGACACGAAACCCATAAACGGCGCACATGTAAACACCGGACATAAAAAAAATATATTCTCAGGGAGATTTTTTTTCACAATTTAAAATCCTAGTAGGTACACAAATCAATACATTATGCAAAATGATATCAAATAGATCAAATAAGTGATAGAAATTAAGATAATTCGTATTGAGTGGGAGTGTTATTTATTATATGAAAATACTAAGTACCTAGGTATATAATGTATACATAGATATTACCTGATTTACTATACATTCAGAATTGCATAAGAGTCCTCCGTGATTTGCAGTTTCATTCTAAAAAAAAAATAATTACAATTTTAATTAATTAGAAGTTACATATATAAAGAACATGTCTTTTGTAGAAAATTATAGTTTTCTTATTAAAATAAATTTGATCAAATTCACATCAATTCGTTTTTAAAAAAAAACTAATTATCAATTAAAACAAATAACTGATTACATAAGTTTATTATCGTAAAATTTAGGTATAATATATTTTACATTTTGGTTTTTGTTCAGCATTTATTCCTATTTTATCTGCTTGATAGTTGATTAATACTAAACTCTATTGTATTAAGTATGTATTTCAAAATATAAGTGCAGACAATAATTACTATCGTTTATTAACATAAATTAATAAATGTTTAACGATTTTATTTCGTACCCACCGATCGTATTCTTTAGGTGGGTAAATTTAAATTAGACAAATACCCAGACAAATAGGTAAAACAATTAAATATGTACAGTGTGTATCGCTGTAATTTCTACATTAATACATTTATTCTAACAATATTAATTGTTATACAAACTTTATACTTGAAATATGATAGTTGACATTTAGTTATAAATGAGTGCGACAATACATTATTATTATTATTATTATTATTATTATTATTATATGTTTTGGTTTGCTTATAAACAAATTAAATATTTTTCAAAAAATTGAGATTTTTTAGAGCCAATTTATTATTAATTTATTTAAATACTTAGTACTAACTACTAAATTTAATTATTTCCACAAATAGTTTAACGAAGGCAGAGTGTGCAAGAATAAATGCGACGGACACTCTGTATAATATGAAATTATAATATACCTAGAGTTCAAACTACAACTATGTACAATTTTATCAACTAATTTTATGTAGGTATAAAATATACCATGTTAGTGTATAATATTATTATATTGTATGATTTTGTATTTTCACTAATATATTTTTCATTAATTTAAAAACTACTCGTATTAGGTACTTATGTAAAATAGTACAAGTTATATTTTATTAAATACTATAGGTACATCTATGTCTATACAGATATATTATAATATGCATACATATTATGTACCTATATATTATATACTAATATCACAGAATATTGTATTGACATAAATCTTTCTTTTTTTTATTTATTTATAAAACTTACAATCTGTATTTAAAAAGAACATAATAAGTAAATATGATCACATAATTTGTACCTATATAATAATAATATAACAATATTAGTTTTACTTGATAAGGGGGCTTTAGTAGATTCCTTTAGAACTTGTTGAATTACAAATTATAGAGATCATGATTCTATAACAAAAAAGACCGTAAGAGCGTATATTTTCTATACAAAATGAGTATGAAAAATAATAATAGTTAGGTAGCTAAAAATCATTTTGGTCTAAAATAAAAAGCAAAAATTAAATTAAATACAATCCGAAAATAATTTCTAGGTACAATGGGATTGTTTCAAAAAAATAAACCTAAATGAAATAAATACGCGTGAGAATTATTTCCGTTAAAACAAGTGCCCAAAGAAACAAAATAATCACATTTTTGAACAGGTGGTTGAATAATTGTTCATTATCTACCTGCGAGTGAAATAAGCGGACATCCTGTCCACCCCTGTAGACACGTAAACTACCTTTAGTAATAACTAATAACCGTCTGGATGAACACTGTTAAGTGTTAGTTATTATTTACTTGTTAGGTAGGTATGTAGCCATGTAGATAATAGTTTTACTACTTTTAAATCAAGATCATTACTGCCACAGAATAAACCACTTCTATTTATCATTATTCATTACAAATGTATGGCATTTCGTTATCGATACGTACAACATACTACCAAAATTTGTTAAAAATACTTTTAAATGTCAATTATATAGTAATTCTTAAGTTAGGAAAAGGTTTACTATTATTTTTATAATCGAATACCATTAAGACTGATTAATTACGCGTACCCAAACAGTTAAGTAATTATTATATGAATATCTAATTGTGTAAGAAAACAATACCTATAAATTAAAATTAGCAAAAACATAATAATAAATTGTACAATTTAAACATTACGTTCCTATTTATATTATATTAATTTAATTTAAAAAAACATGTCTATGATTTATGAATTAAAAAAAGCACTTTATTAATTGATGCAGATTTGTAGCAGTCTTTTTTAAATACATACTGATTATTAATTATTAAAAATTAAAAATAACTAATTAAAATACGTCTTAGTAGCAATGCACATACCTATATTATATAAAAGCAATGTGTAAACTATATAGTACCTACTAATAGTTAATAGGTTCAAATTTAGTAACAAAATAGTTTATCGATACCCGGATGGTAAGCAGTGGGCAGGGGCCAGGGACGCAATTCGTAAATACAAAGAAACGCAATGTATACAAAAATAAAGTTACGGCAATAAAATAAGTCCATTTCAATCTAATTATAGAATAAGCCAAAATTACCATACTAATTCACCAGGCCAAATCAATCTGGAGGACGATAGTACGCTACATGCATGAGTGAATGATGTATATTGTGTTGTTTACGTCGTACAAACATACAAAATAATACAAACGAATGGCATCGGGCGTACCAAATTTGCGTTGATTAGAATCGATCGTGTGTTGTTATTTTTAATATTAGAGTGAACCTACGATAAAGATTAAAGAAGATGTAAGAGCAAAGTCAGAGCTTTTTCTTCAATATTTCAATATTTGAGTTATGAGTACCTATGTAAAATATTACAAAAATAAAATGTTCATAACTCGCTTAAAAACTGAAATTTACCAAGATACAAACACAGACAATGTTTTTATCGTTAGTTTAATAATAACTAATAAGTGAATTAATTAATTAATTAATTCATCATAATCAATTATTCTTTAAATTAAGAAATCACTAGTATCAATTAATTAATATATACATTTTTTTTAAAACATTATTTTCATGTTATAAAACCAATATAATATTCACTTTGCATCTAAAATGAATAAAAGTGTACATCAATTTTATTTCATTAATATAATACCTTTCTATTATATTAATGATAAAATAGACATACAAATATATTATTCTATATAATAAATATATATATTATATTACGCATATCTACATAAACCTACATACCTATAAAAAGTATAAAACTATAAAGTATAAACTTATATAGACATGCAGATATATTACCAGCTGATGAGGGACACTGTATAGAAATGGTTTAACTAAAATGTTTCATCACGTCAGTACACTAAATTGCCTTAATTAATTTGTGAATTTTATGGCCAGGGAATGTATAACTACAAAGGGACAATAATATCAAATAATATTTTCCACCATATTTGAATGTAAATTGTAATAATTGTTCTTAATCGTATGACTTATTTAAGAAAATAACAAAAAACAATTAATATATTATATTATGTTCATTAACACGGTTTATATATAATCTTATATATCTTCCAAAATAGCCTTTAAAAGCTGTTCATTTTTGTTGATAACCTTTAAGTTCAAACCGTTAATTTTAATTACAGGAGCCATCATGTGTTCCGTTTAATCTAGAAAAAATTCAGGTTACATATAATGCAAATATATATTTATATTATTGTTTAGGCAATGAATACAAAAATTGTTTGTACATAATTTACGAAGTAAAACTAATTACATCCAAACCAGTAATAATATGAGAAAAAAGTTAAATAGATACGTCTTTACTAATTGATAATTTTGAAGTAAATATAATCAATAAAATAAAATGATATTATACAATATTACATTTAGTACCTATGAAGAATGATTAGTAAAATTTCAAATGCGTAGGTAATATACTTTACATTTTATCAATTCGAATAATATTTTATTTTTAACAGAAGTTTTAATTTGAACAGAAGTTAATAATAAGAATATTATTGACAAAAGATAAAGCATAACTTCTATACCTATTCTCGAAGTGGAATTCAATATTACCTACAATAGTACCTACTATACTCTAAATTCTGATTATACCTATTAGTGATCCGCTTATCGTAGTAAATAGTGATCAATTATTTATTTAGAATAACGGTCTAACAACAATAATTTCATTTACACGCATTAAAGATTTATTAATTATTAATTTTACTCATTAGTTGTAAACAAATATTAGTATCTTATCTACATTTATGAATATTAAAAAAATTCTTCCTTCATTACCTGACCTTAATACCTATATCATTTATAACTTTTCAATTTTACACCAATAGGCATATATACCAATATGGACCAATTATTTCTAGATAAAAAATATACCTAACATCAAATGAATATTTAAAGGAATATCAAACCGTAAATATTATATTAATAACATTATTATAAAATTATAAGATTATTACGTTACCCACTCAATTATTTCTTTTTATGCTTTCATAATAATTTACCGCAATTTACTCTTAAAAAGAGTGAATTTAGTAGAAACACAACGTTAAGAAAAATTAATAAAATAACTTAAATATTTTCTACACACTGATTCGGTTTTAGCCAAAATTATTCTATTACGTAATAATAAATTCAATCCAAAAATCAAAACACATGATAATGTTCTAATTTTATTACATTTGGGAAACACAATATTTCAGAAATATTACATAATTTACTATCTATCTACTTGTAGTATAAACCAAAAACGTATACAATAGGTATAGAAAAACACAATCTTATATGATAATTAAAACATAAAACGATACAAAATTTAAAAAAAATGTCTACCTATACTAATGGCTATTCCACCAATTCTTCAAATTTGTTATTAATAATTTTATCCTCAAATGATTAAAAGTAAGACATAGAAAAACGCTCAGAAAACGGGTGTTGAGCCCTCTCAAATTTAGTTTGGAAAAATTGCTTAAATAAAAGCGTCTTACTCTTTTCTAATCAAAATTTATATAAATTAATTAAAAAGTAATAAGTTTTGTTTCTTAAGATATCGATCAAGTCAGGACTTGCGAGTAAAATATATTTAATTATTAGTACAACTATAGATTAAATATTATACGGGTATAGTTAAACTATTGACAAATACCTATTTATTATAAATACGAAATACTTACCGATCACCGATTAAATACACGAATACACTCAATATATACATTGAATATTTTGTCCATATTTTAATTGTAACTAAACTACGATGACTTAACGGTTCGTCAGTTTAAAAGACATTAAAAATTGTTGATTTTGTAAATTATAATTTAGAATTCTTCAGATTCCGTAATCTACCTACCTATAGCTAATAATATTAAAGATTAAATATAAATGATTTTACACTTAGGTAAGTATCAGTAAAAACTAATAGTAGTACTTGGCTTAAAATTTAATTCTGTGGGTAATCATATTTGTAACCAACCAAATTGAATAAAGTTATTTTATAATTAAATGTGTATAGTATATAGGTACATCATGGAATACCGACTTACACTGATTACCTATTAAAAATTTCTATTATTTTGGATTGTGATTATTTTACATTAAAATTAGATACATGGTGTTATTCTAAAGAGTTAAAACCATTGACATAACTCTTATCGCTATTTTAGATGACAAAACAATAGCAAGTTGGGAGTACCTAGTATAAAATATAATATTTTAAAACTAAATATTTCTTACGCTTACAAAGCAGAATAAATAAGAATATAATATATTACTATAACTCCGTATGATAAATAGATGGTATGGTAAAAATTTTAATCAAAAATATGTTTATTTATAGATTTGCTTACCTAATACTATAATCATATTTTAATTATATCGTTTCCGAGCAATAACTATCGGCTATTTGTAACAATCGTGGAAAAAAAAAATGTTATTTCAACCAGTATAATATAAATCCTAATCTGTAAATATATACTTAAAATTGATAAATGTTTTGGTAAACACGGATAATTTATTTTACCTGTAAATTACATCTTTCGTTGCATTCCAAACGAATGATATCCTTTTGCGAATCCGAATGCGCAGAGATTTCGATGACAAACACCAGCGTTACAAGATATACGTAAAGATCAACCATGATCATATTATACGGCAACGATATTTAATATTAAAATGTTATAATATTGACGAACAGGACGTCGGGGCGACGAAGACACGCATGGGGAGCGTAAAACAGAGGGAAGAGCATATACAGAACACACCATACGAAGGTCGCGGGAAAACTGAAATACTGAATTCAGAAATCTGAATTGCCGCCTGGGCGCCTGGCGGACCGCGAGGAGTATACCCGTAAACAGAACCACGGTCGCGTCGGAGACCTTAAATTGGACTCTGGTAAACTGGTTCGTCGGGCCTCGATGGCTCGATATTCGAAGTTGGTGCCGGGACCGCGGCAGGAGAGAGGAGACTGGTAGACTGCGCCAACCGGCATCCGCCACCAACAATTCACCGATAGTCGAGAAACACATCACACTACCACCAAAGTTCCCTGGTGGTGGAGCGGATCACTGCTTATCACCCGTTATCACGCTGCGTATAAATAATTGGAATAATAACTACAATCATAGTATAAGCACAGAATAGAGTGTGAG